GTCCACGTCTGCGTCAGGCCCACGATAAAGTATCTGGGCCTGACGTTGGACGGCTGTTGGGACTTTGGGCCGCACTTCGGTCCTAAGCCGCCTTACGGCCAGTAAGACCATGAAAGAAGGACTATTTGTGATATTTGATATTTGTAAATGAAATCCCCCATTTTTTATTACATATTCTTGTAGCTTACCTCAAGAGCTTTTCAAAACACTATAACGTTTTTGTCGTTAAGTATTTTCCGAGTATGAGGCACGAAAGTTGCACTACCGCCGACAATAATATTACCCAAGATGTACCACGTGGAGGTTGCACGGTTGGATTTACATCTTGTGTGTGCGTATATGTATGCGTGCTTATGTGCGTGCGTGTGTAAAAAAGTGAGTGAGTGAGCGATTGAATGAGTATGCTTCTACAAATATAAACGTTCGAATTGTTGACTTTCTTCAATTTGACACTGAAGCAGTCGATCATGAAAGCTTCTACTAACATTTTCCAATGTTTTGGAGGTAATTAATGCCACTTCAGTGGTAATTCGGTGTCTCAAATCATCCAAATTTTGAGGTTTTGTTTTGTAAACGCGATCTTTTAAATATCAAGACGATATTATTTCTGCTATTCGCAATATTTTCAGTTTAAATTTTGATACAGTTTGGTTTCAGCAGTATAGTGCCGCCCCTCCACATTTTTTATTGCAGTTACGATAGTTTTTAAACGACTTTTTTCCTGAAAGATAATTAGAAAGAAGGGGACCAATCGAGTGGCCACCCCGATCACCTAACATGAATCCCTTGGATTTTTGTTTGGGGTTATTTAAAAGATCGCGTTTACAAAACAAAACCTCAAAATTTGGATGATTTGCGACACCGAATTACCACTGAAGTGGCATTAATTACCTCCGAAATATTGGAAAATGTTGTAGGAGCTTTTATGATCGATTGCTTCAGTGTCAAATTGAAGGTCAACAATTCGAACATTTATATTTATAGACGCATACTCATTCAATTACTCACTCACTTTTTTACACACGCACGCACATACGCACGCATACACGCACGCACACACGCACGCACATACACACGCACACATGAGATGTAAATTTGACCGTGCAAGCTCCACGCGGTACATCTTAGGTAATGCTAATGTCGGCGGTATTGCAAACTTCGTGCCTCATAACTCGGAAAGTACTTAACGAAATTAAACTTTGTTACAGTGTTTTGAAAAACTCTCGAGATAAGCTACAAGAATATGTAATAGAAAGTGGGGATTCTATTTACAAATATCAGGTTGACCTTGATCTGACCTTGGCAACGCCACCCAAGGTCAAGCGAATGTTACCGTTGAATGCATCTTTTTAAACCTTACAACTTTTGTTTGAAACGTTTTTTTCTAAAATTCATTTTTAAAGAGATATTTGAGTGTTTCCAGACTTTTGCTACACCCTGTATTAGAAAGATCTCTCGAATATATGAAATTTTGTCATGAATAAGTTTTTGATATGACAAATGTTTTTAATCTCTAAAAAAGAGATTTGAGTTGTCACACTTTACGTGAAACGCCCTATACAGGGTGTCTCAGAACTTTGGGACACGGGCTCCGTAGGGATATAGAGCTAAGTGAGAGGAATAGAAAAGTCCTGTGCCATAATGTGAAAATCATAATAGTTTTTTAGTAATAACCGTGTAAAGTGTGGCGTTTTCCACGCCCATCGCGGCCTATAGACCCTCCGCGGCAAGCTGTGTGCGTAGAGGCTGAGCGATAACGCGTCCCAAAGTTGAGACACCCTGTATAACAAATCCTTGATTGATAATTGCCTGCTTGTCTTTAATGCTATTCCCTATTGTGACACATTCCATGTGGGTCTTTTCGTGTCCCTGATGGGCAAGTCACTATATCAAATTGCGAGATGTCTATAACAAAACGTATAAAAAATGGATATGCAAGATGGGGCGTATATCCAGGATAGGCCGTAAAATCCTTCAATGTTGCTAGAGTTGATCTTTCTAACATTCCTATATCGGTCGTAGACGGAAGCTGTGTTGTTGGACGGACTCTTTTTGACATCCCTATGTCAGTTGTAGACAAAAGCTGTATTGTTGGAGGCACTCTTTCTGACGTTGCTATGTCGGTCGTAAAACGAAGCAATGTTGTTAGAGATATTCTTTCTGATATCGAATGTAGAAAGAAGCTGTGTTATTGGAGGTACTCTTTTTGACATTCCTATGTCAGTCGTAGATGAAAAACGTGTTGCTGGACGGACTATTTTTGACATTCCTATATCCGTCGTAGACGGAAGCTGTAATGCTGGAGATACTCTTTCTGATATACCTGTATCATTCGTAGACGGAAGCTGTGTTACTGGAGGTACTCCTTCTGGCATTCCTACGTCAGTCGTAGACGGAAGCTATGTTGTTGGAATCTTTTTGACATTTCTGTTGGTCGTAGACGAAAGGACCCCGCACAAACCTTATGGAAATTGGGTCCCAGTGAATTTGTCTGAAACTTGGGAAATGGTAGCTTCCGTCACGCTGATAAAAAGTTATCATTGCACCAAATTGATTTATAGCGTCGTTTAGGCGCTAGTGTTGTTTGAAAGTCAGGAATTGTGCGGTATTCTATGAGTAATAGAGGTGCACGATTCTGCCAAAAAAAATCCATTTTTCGGAATTGATATTTTAAAAAAAATCAAACAATCGATTATTCGCAAAAAAATATAATCAATTCTACAGAATCGATTTAGAATTTTGAATATATATATATTGTTGCACTCGCGCTCTCGGAAGCAAGCTCCAGGTGAGGCGTTCGATATGTCAAAGCAGGTCCGAAAAGCTAATCGTTCCCCTAGACAACGAGTAAACAATAAAGGAAAGATTCAGAGAGCAGCTGTCGTACCGAGCTGACGTGTGTGGCGAATCGGTCCGCGAAATTCTGTCGCGCAATATAGAGAAATTGTTTACGTTATCGCAAGCTTGTAAATAACGCATTAAACGCTTGGTTTTATTTTCCTAAACCTCGTGTTCGCTTCATTTGCCTGCTTTTTGGTGCGCTTGTTGCAAGCAAGCGCAACAATATATATATATATATATCATATATACAACCTCTTGAGATATTTCTATGTAGTAAACCTATATAGTTTTAAGCGAGGAGTACAGGGTACGTATTATGAACTTGTTCGGAATTGATTTCGATCGGAATAATTTGTTTTTATTAGAAAAGACTTCAGAAATCTAGGGAATAACTGTATTATTCCGATCGGAGTCAATTCCAAATAATTCCATAAAAGCCTTCGTACTAAAATTGGCATAACCATAAACATAATATGTATACTTAAGCCAAAAGACCAATCAGAACATTGCTTTAAGATTATGTACTCTAAAAGAAAATAGAACCGGCAATAAATCCGATCCGTAAACAGAAGTAACTAGAATCAGTTAAATTCGAGACTAGGGATGTCAGATTGAGCTACTTGTTCAAAATTGAACCGCTTAGAAACTAGATTTGCAATAAAAGAAGGGTCTTGTACGACTCAAATTGGGCTGAAGCAGCCTAATTTGCGACAGGTCGTACAGGACCTTTTTTTATTGCAAATCTATTTTCTAAGGGGGAGCGCCCGTTTCGACGCGGTGCAATTCGACATCACCAATCACAAGCCGATGCATCTAGAGGTTTTCGAGTGTTGACCAATCGGCATAGCTTGTGTCGAATCGCACCGTGTCGAATCGGTTCCCGTCCTTTTCTAAGCAGTTCAATTTTGGACAAATACTCCAATCTGACATTCCTCTTCGAGACCACCAATCCGACCACCAAACAGATGTAACAGCTCACTGAGCGCGAGAAGCACACACTTTTGCATGCAGGCATAATGCACAACGCATAACAAAATGAACCAATCAGAATTCTCATTTCTATTGCCACATTGGAAATGAAAAACTCTGATTGGTTCATTTACTTATGCGTTGTGCATTATACCTTTATGCAAGAGTGTGTGCCTCCCGCTTCATGGAATTGTCTGTGCGCGATTTAAAATGTTATAAGTTATAAGTATCCGGCGAGTGCCGCCGTGTTTAGTGGTTTAAGTTTAACTTAACAACATGTTATGTTGTTATGTTGTTAATATATACAAAAATAACATGGCACATTTTCTTTTAGCCTTATATTATTATATAAATATATTATATAAAGAAATAATGTATTAATTACATGTTTTTTTCCCAAAAATTATTTTGGATTGATTGAAGAAATAAAAGCTTCGATGCTCTTTCAGATAGTAATTTACTCCGTTTTTGGGAAATAAGATTACCGGTTTTACTAAACACTCTTTCTGACGGCACCGGCGTGCCTACTATTACAAAATACTTAATTGCAATTACATATAAATTTTGATATACATCCTTCACTTTCAACCAATACTTTAAAGGATCATCTTTTCTATCTAACAAAGCACTATTTAAATATTGTCATAATTCAGTAGATATACTCGTCGACTCCTTATTAGTAAATGTTACAGAAGCTTTTATTTCTTCGTGAATATTCCATATGTCATTTTCGTTATACCTGTCAACATTGTTTGTCAAGCGCTTTTCAATAGTTTCTCTAGTATTATTCATATTCTTTGTCAGTTTAGACACTGTGTTTATTGCATTTGCGCATTCCATTGCACTTCCAAAATGAATTTTTTTGAAATGAGGATCTAATAAAGTAGCAATACTAAGAAACTCATTTTTCTTTATATAAGAATTTGGTCCAAATCGGTAATTAACCTCCTGGAGAATATTTTTATGCAATTCTTTACTTATATCAGTGATAGGAATTTTTTCTTCTAAACGTTTTATTAAACAATTGGTTAACGGTATTATTTTACTACATGTCAAATACTGTTCTCCTGATAATTCTACAGTTATTTGTTCTAAAGGAGATAATATCTTAATTGCATCAATTATCACTTTTCTCTTTTCATGTGTTATCATTTCCAAAGAGGAAGTTTCACTTGACTAACAATGTCGACAACTTCTATAAATCTACTTAGCATATAAAAAATGGAATTTCAACGATAGTCCTGTGGGACAGTCCCGTTTAAGTTTTAAACATGTACCTTCAGTTTTTCCTTGTAGCATTTGTAATCGAATAAGTTCGTCAGATACACGAACGCTATGTTTAAAATGTGTCACAATATGTTTTACTTTAGTAACTATTGTTTGAAACCGAACCGACGATGCTATTGATTTTTGCGCAACTAAATTTAAACAATGTGCAAAACATGGAAGATGCCTGTGATACCCAAATGTTGTATGTATAACATGTTTTATGTTACATCCATTATCAGTAACAATACAAAGGATTTTATCATCTGGAATATTCCATGTTTTACATATATCATTTAAACCTTACCAAGATATCCACTGGTATGACGTTCTTTTAGTTTTTCTAAGCCTAACGATACAGCTTGTAAAGTAATTTTATCAGTATCAAGATAATGAGAATTAATGAGATGTTAAACTTATATAACTTTTGTTTGTAAAAGGATCTGTCCACACATCGCTGGTTAAACAAAAAAAGTCAATGTTATTAAAGCTATTTTTCAAATCCGAACTTATAAGTGTATATTTTGCATCCATAAGTGTTGTAATAGCATTTCTTCCTGGTGCTTTGTAAAGTGGTGCTACTGCTTTCAAAAAATTATTAAATCCTTCTGTTTCCGTGAACGACAGTGGCAGTCCACATTTAGCAATTATATATAATATATGATTTGTAATCTTATTTCCTTTTTGTCCTCCATCAAAAATATTAAAATATTATTTAGATAAGCTAAATGTTAAGATAGGTAAGTTAAGTCTTAATTTACTAATATTATTAGAATAATTTTACAGTTACAACATTGTAAACAGCGCTCCCAAAATCATTTAAAATATCAAAGATATATTTTCTGATTGGACTATTGACAGTGTTCTAAACTACATCGAAAAAAAGAGTCTACACTGTTTAGCAACTGACTATATAGTTTTTAAGAGCATTTTTAGTAATATAAATAATATGACGAAAATAGTAAATTTAAAACGCAATGTGTGAATGAAACGTTAATGAGATTACCTTAATAACAGATACAAGAAACACTGTGTTACACAAAGACATTTTATTAGCTACATATTATCTTAGAAGTTTTAGATAATATGTAGCCAGTAAAATGTTTTTGTATAACATAGTATTCCTTACTAGAGAACACTAAGACCCATATTTTTAACTTACTTTTATCGATAAAAGTACTTTAAATGTGATTTTTCTGCCAGTCAGGCTGTTTTTAAGCTATTTTTAAAGGCACTTTTGTCAATAAAAGTGGATTAAGAATATGAACTTAAACTTTACATTTTATATTTATTACTTTTGTCATATTATTAATAGAACTAAAAATATTACTTAAAACTATATATGATAAAATAAAAATAATTACCAGTGTATGAGGATACTTTTTTAAATGCTTCGTTTATATTTAATTCCTTACACTCACTTTTATATTTTTTCTGTTGAGGAATATTGCTAGTAGAAGGCTTATTATTTTCATCATTCATCGAACCATTATTTTCCTTATCTGATTGTTTTAATTTCTTTACAGGATTGTATTCTATATATGCAGAAGGATGTTTTTGTTTTAAATGATTTCTTAGATTAGTAGTATTACCATAATGTTTGTATATGCTTAAACATAATCGATATCGAGCTGTTATCCCATTACTTTTATCGAAATAACTTTTACAGATTTTTTCTCTTCAGATGAACCAACCTATGTAAGCAGATTATGATCAGTTTGTATACATTTTTTTAGAAAGACAACAAATCTCATACAAAATCTGTTCGATGATGTTGTCAAATTGCTGCCTGAAATCTGAGAGATTAAATAATATAAAATAATATTTCCAGCAGGAAATATTATGTTATTTATTAAATATTTTACTTACTGGACTGAGTTCTACCTGCTGCTCGGGGATTTTATCAGCTTCTTTGACATCGGATTCATTGAGGTCAATGACATTGGGGTCAATGACAATACAGTCAACGGCATTGGAGTCAACACAGGAGTCAACGACATCAGAGTCATCGACTTTAAATTCTTCGATATCATCTTCTATATAGAATTGAAACATGTTTATTCCGCACAGAATAGGAATAGGCTCTCGTAGACCAGCGCGATGCGCGATGCGACACACGATATGCGACGAGCGATATCCAATAGGTGCATTCAGTACTACAACCGCTCACTGAGCGCTCAATGAGCTTTTACATTTGATTGGTATATTCCTTTAGATTTAAAAATATACACCAATCAGATGCAAGAGCTCACTTAGCGCTCAGTGAGCGGTTGTAGTACTGAATGCACCCAATGAGTGTACTAATGTTCCGAAAACGCTGTACTCTCAATGGATATCGCGCGTCGCATATCACGTGTCGCGTCGCAAATCGCGCTGGCTGCGAGAGCCATTATATATATACTATAATCGTTTTCCGATTCTGGCTTAAAAAGTATCGATTTGTGAAAAAATCGATTCTTGAAAAAATCAAACCGACTCCGATTATATTTATTAAAATTTAATCGATTCAAATAATCAACTCAAATAATCGAATCTGAATCGTGAACCTCTAATGGGTAGCATGGGTAGCATATCAGCTGCATATACATATATACATGTATACATATGTGTGTGTGTGTATATGTGTATGCGTGTATGTATATGTGTATGTGTCATATATATGTATATATGTGTTCATGTATGTGTGTATGTACGGATGGATGCTACATGTGCACTCCATGTATACCTTCATTATACATTGGTACTCGTTCTATACACAATATTAGTGGCAAGACTAGATGTTAGTTGGGCTTCACATCTTCACATATAACGTATGTGTGGAGCCTCCTAAGGTTTTATATTTCGCCGCAACTTAAACGTAATTTGTACGGTACATGCAGATACCCATACCATATGTACATAAATGCTGCATATGATTTATAGGGTGTTATAAAACACCCGGAAGAGCAGAATAACTCGAAAAATATGAGTCCTAGAAAAAATGGGAAGTACTGGGCTTTTATGATTTTTTCCTGGCTATCTGATGGTGACCTTGGATTTGACCTTGACAATGACCTTGAAGGTTATTTCAAGGTCAGGTTAATTTTTTTAAATGGGACCCTATACTTTTGACCCCAGAAATAAAAAGAGCGGAAAATTTTACGTTCGGATATGACCTTGAACACTGCCAAATTTGACCTCTGAAGGTCACATAAAGGTCTAAGCTTGTTTTAGGCTGAAAACGCGAATATCTTCGAAAATGCACCTACTAGGGAGCAATGTTACGCATAAGAATAAGAATGTAGAGGTTAACGAGGGACATTCAGCCGTGACCTTGCCCTTATTCTCAAGGTTATGAGTTAAGATTATTATTAAGGTCAAACCGGACTTTTTTAGGACTGAAAATCCATACTTTTGACCTAAAAGTGTCAAGATTGAAAAATTTTACGTTCGGATATGACGTTTTCAACCTTGATCTGTCAAATACACTGTCAAACGGTCAATGGGGAACATTTTGAACATCTCTTGTAATCTTAGGCCGAGTTACAAGATGCTTTGCCTTCGGTGGCCGGGACTAACTAAACCTTGCCTTCAGTGGTCGGGTTTGAGACACCTTGCCTTCAGTGGTTGGGTTTGAGACACCTTGCCTTCAGTGGTCGCAACCATGAAAGAAGGAGGGCGTACTAGGTGGCGACGGGACGCTGTGCGTTCGGGACCTGCATCTTATTTTCGTTCCGAAGAGAGAAAAACATCGAAAGCGCGGCAGTCGCTAAACCGGGAATCGAACCCGCGTCTTTCACTTGCCGGGCTTGCCGGGTTTGAGACACCTTGCCTTAAGTGGCTGAGTTTGAGACATCTTGCCTTAAGTGGTCGGGTTTGAGACACCTTGCCTTCAGTGGTCGGGTTTGAGACACCTTGCCTTCAGTGGTCGGGTTCCGAGGCGCTTTACTTTCAGTAGACTTCACGATCAGTGAAGTAACGTAAAACGCATAATTTTGAGAACAAGGTCAATACAATATCAGTGGTTATACAGTTACAGATTGATTTTCAAGCGGAAACAGGAATAGATACAATATTTCTCAAAAAATGGTCCGAAATTGCTCCGTATATATTACTTTACGCAGAAAGGATAGAAGCATGTCAATCCTTGTGTGAGCTGAGAAATAGTATGTATCTCAAAGTACCTGTAACTTTCTAATGAATATAAATACCATAATTTTTTCATATAAAATTTTTTTATATAAAATCTTTTATTTTATTTTTGAAGTTGTTTTTAAAAATGAAGTAATACATGAAAAAGGAAGGGGAAGCTTAACATAACATAATGTAAAATTGTTTGCAGATGTATCTATAGAAACACTGAGCCTCCTCATACTTCCTTATTTATTTAAATACCATTATATAAAAAGTAGTAATAAAAAAAATGGAAACCATCTAAAGCAGAATGCGGAAAGTTTCATTTTTCGTGTTCCTGTAAATATTTTTTTTATTATATATAACAAAAATTTCAGGCAAATCTGATTTAAAATTCGAATACGTTATTATATCTTAAGGTCTTAGACCACCTTGACGCCCAAAAAAGCATGTTTTTCTGCAATTTTTTAAAATAAACCGTTAAATAAAATACAAATCGAATTTAATACAGGGTGCGTACGTATTTGAGGACAAATTGACATTAAAACTAATTTGTTCATATTTCTTGCAAAATTTATTATAATTCCATGAAATTTTTACACGACGTTAATTGACTCCTAGACTATACAATTACTCAATAAAATCCCCATTAGCGGCAATAATGGACTCAATCCGGGGTCGGAAACGATTGCATGCCCGAATCAAATGCTCTTTGTTCATTTTGATCATTGTTGTTATTATAGCATCCTTCAGTGATGAAATATTATTATGAGGATATTTATTGGTCTCCCGCTCAACTACGCCTCATACGTAATAATCCAGGGGATTAAGGTCTGGGGAGCTAGGTGGCCATAAGTTTGGGGTAATGTGGTCATAGAAATTTTCGGTCATCCAATCTTGTGTCGTCATGGCTTTGTGTGAAGGAGCAGAGTCTTGCTGGAATATGTATGGTCTGTCCCCACGTACACTATCAATCCAGGGTTTCACAACTGTTTCTAAAACCTCGATGTAGGTGGCAGCATTCACCTGAAGCTCCTGACGAAAGAAGTGGGATGACATAACATGTCCTTCATTGCTCACAACTCCTAAAACCATGACAGTTACTGGAAACTTCGTGTGCATAACACGGGGAACCTCTGAAGGATGTGAGCATAACCACCTGTCATTTCTCTGATTGATTTTTTGGTCTTGGTCGAAATTTTTTTCGTCAGAGAAAAACCATAACATGTTAGGAACTTCAGGGTGCTTAAGCTTGTTCAAAAGACGTTTTCCTCGGATAAGTCTCTGTTCCCGAATTTGTGCCGATATAAACTGTCCTCTGCGCATAACGTAGGACGTATAGCGGAAGTTTTCGTGGACAACTCGACGGATTAGGCTCTCAGAGACATTCAGGTCCCTCGCAATGGCCCTCATGGACTTTGGAGGGCTTTCGTCAACGATCTCTTCCACTTGTTGGACAAATTGTGTATTTCTAGTAGTGTCCGAACGTTCCTCATGTTTTTTGCGTTTTGTAACAGTTTCTACATCGCCAGCTGATGCTTACAATTCACGACGAACCTTATGTACGAATGATCGGGCGCAATTGAGAAAATTGGAGATTTCTAAATCGGTGTGTTTCGCGCATATAGCGACGATAACTGCATGTCTCTTCATTTCTTGCGTTATTTTATAGTCCTCCATTGATGATCTGACAAGAAAAAAGACAAACAAAATTGTTCTCCAGAAATTACATTCACATATATGAGTGTCCTCAAATACCGTACGCACCCTGTATTATAAATATATAAGTGTTGGAGTATATAACAAAAAACTTTTTACATTTCTAAAGTGCAAAATGGCGGCGTAGGAGTCATCCACTTTTGCGCCTTTTTAAAAAAGGTTTCCGTGGCATGTAGCAAGTCATCGGCATTTGAAACTGGAACAAATTACAAAATTTTTTCATAATCTACATTAAATTAACTAGAAAAATTGACTAGAAAAATATATAGGGATATGACAAAAAATTGATTTTTATAAAAATGGCGAGCCTTTGAGCCATTATTAATAATGGCATCTCTTGTTTGAATGCTCGCCATTTTTATAAAAATCAATTTTTTGACATATCCCTATGTACTTCTCTAGTCAATTTACTAGGTGCGCAACTAAGTTTCTGAGTTTTTTGATCAATGAAAAATGGAAAATTTCAAGAAAAATACAAAAAACGGTTTATTCAAAGTATCGTCCCTCGCTAGCTACACATTTTTGCCATCTCTCTGGCAATACATGAATTCCGCGACGATAAAACGACGCGTCTTTGGACCGGAACCATTCATCCAACCAATTTTGCACTTCTTCGAAATTGGCCAAGTGTTGCCCAGTCAAGCCATGCTCCATTGACCGGAATAAGTGATAATCGGAAGGGGCCAGGTCTAGTGAATACGGCGGGTGCGGTAGTAGATCCCATTTCAGCGTTTTGATGATGTCCTGGACGATGGAAGTGCAATGACACGGAGCGTTGTCGTGCTGCGATATCACTTGTTCGTGTCTCGTGTCCCATTCTGGCCGTTTTTCGAGCAATGCATGGTTCAAATTGATCAGTTGATGTCGGTATCCTGACGGAAAAAATTTTACAAATTTGTACAAAAAATAAAAATAAAGTACAAAATCGACCAACAATAAGTGTCAGAATCTATGAAATTCTATATAAATTTACAGTGTTTAAAAAAATCTACTTGAATTTACAATGTGCTACAAAAATCTATATAAAAATGCTAGAATTGGAACACTTTTATAATTTGTTGTATTTTTCTATTGTATACTTGATTTATAAAATTCTCAGCAAAACTACGTCAAACTACAAAATACTGATATTCTACAAATTTCTATGTCCATAAAAGTACAGTATACTATAATGAAATGCTAGAATTAGAATTTTGTAGATTTTCGTAGTTTCCGGTCGAAACTTATAATTACATTGCTACGACTTGATCTACAAATTACAGGGCAAAATTATGTCAAATTACTATTATTAGCGATGTTCTACGTATTTTTATGTCGAAATAAGTGTTGTATAAATAAGGAAATGTTACAATGGAAACAGCTGTGTAAATTTTTTTTATGTTTTGTGAAAATGCGTAGTTTATATTGTATTTCCAACAATATGTACTTGAATAGATGTTTTCACAAAAATTGTTACAATGCAGTATACTACTTTTTGTGTACAACAATCCATGTTTACGAACAATAGTATATTGTATTGTGAAGATTTTGGTAAAAACATTAATTGATTTACATATTGTTACAAATAATTATAATATCTTCAATTACCCTTTTCCACCCCAAACAATTAAAAACTGATAAAACAATTATTTTTAGTTAAATATATAACTTTGTACACAAATCTACCAATATTTATTCAATATTAATAACTTCTTCAATTAAATGAATAACATTAATAATAAATAATTTTTAATAAATTTGTGTACAAATTTGTATTATTTTAGTGAAAAGTACAAATTTTAATTAGCAGTAATTATAATACATTGTACAGCCGTAAAAATAAATCGGTATTTGCAATTATATGTAAAAAATTGTTATATTTTATGGGAAACTAAAAGCTGCATTGGGTTTAAAATTACATAGTTTTACGATATGAAAATTCTTGTAGATGTGCATAGATATTTCTAAATATTTATAATATTCTACAAAAAGTAAGTATTTTTATTTCTACAGACTTTGCTGTCTTTCAATTTTTAAAATTTGTACATTTTTGTAATTGCTTCTATAAAATTGTAGATTTTTACAAAATGTTACTTGCAATGATTTCTAGGTTATAGAATATTGTAATTTGTGGTATTATTTTGTACAAAATTCTACAAAAAAACAAATTTCTCTACAGATTTACATCTGTATACAAATTTCTACAGATTTCTATTTTTAGTAAAAATTTGTAATTTTTTATTAAAGTTTTTTCCGCCAGGGTAGCGATGCCCATTGACGGTTTCGCCCGGTTTCAGCAGCTCATAGTACACGATTCCTTTCAGGTCTCACCAAACGCAGAGCATTGTCTTCTTTCCGAAGCGATTTGGCCATGCCGTCGATGTTGATGTTTCGCCAGGTGAAAGCCACGATTTTTTGCGTTTGGGATTCTCGAAATATATCCACTTCTCATTGCCAGTAACAATTCGATGTAGGAAACTATTTCTTTCATACCGCAAAAGCAAAATTTCAAAAGTGGCTCTTCGATTTTCCATTTGTCTCTCAGTCAACTCATGTGGCATCCATTTTCCTTCCTTTTAAATTTTTCCCATGGCAGTCATACTTAATGCCTCCGCAAGTTGATATTGTGTTTGCGTATCATCTTCATTCAATAACGCTTGCAGATCGGCGTCCTGCGGCTTGTTTTTGGTCTTGTGTTTGGTCTTTCGGAGTGCTCCTTGTCAGTGTCGAAATCGCCACTTCTGAAGCATTTAAACCAATTTTCACAGGTAGTTTTCGATGGTGCATGTTCGCCGTAGGCCTCCTCAAGCAAACGACGTGCTTCAGCTGCACTTTTTTTCAAGTTAAAGCAGAAAAGCAAAGCTTCCCGCAAATGCTGTTTATTTGGCACAAAACTCGACATCTTCATTGTTAGAAAAAATATTTTTGCGTTGCGATATATGTTGGTATTACGATTGGTTATTGTTAATAGATGTCCAAGCTATAAAAAAAACACAACTTCAGATATGTATGTCGACTACATGTGTCGTTAGTGCCATCCATGTGTGAAACCCGGAAACTTATTTGCGCACCTAAAATAAGTTTGTAATTTCAAATGGGATCTCCAATAAAATGTTACACGTTTGGCATCTACGGGAAAAAACAAGTTAATTTTATCTGGAACATTTCTTTAAAAAATACTTCTATCGAAAGTTATAAACATTTAAACTTTACAGTAAAACGCATTTAAACTAAAGTGATAAAACTGTAAAGTAAATAAAAGACTTCATAGTTTTTCACATTTTTTATTTTATTAAATGTTCGAATTGTTGACTACTTATATTTAAACACTTATTAATCCTTTTTGTAAAATTTTGTTTAATTCTAAGCAACATTTCTTTCCAGAAATCAGGTTAGCACAAGCTTCACATATGTTTTCAATGACATAGATAGCGAATATAAAAGAAACAAACTTTTAACGGATATGGGACAATATTAAACCTATAAAAATATTTCAGTCAGGTAGGTTCTTTTATGACCGTTGAGTTACGTTCGTGTTGTGTCTGTTGGTAAAAGATAGCTGTAATTAAGTGGTTATTAGTTTCTGAATTAAGAGGACCTGGAATTGAAATATTTTCATTAGAAGAATGATTATAACTCTGACTGTGTATGTTATTTATATTATTTGATCGTAAAGGACCATTGAAATTTAGGAGATTAATCTCTGACACGCACTCGGTATTTTCTGTAAAATTTTCAATCTCTAGTACAGAATTCTCGTTATATCCTTTAATTTTTTGTGTCTTGATATTTTCATAGGAAGCCTTGAATACTCCCTCTTGAGTTTCATTAAATTTTGCATTTATCGTTTCAGTTACATTTGAGAAATTATATTCTGGATAATGCGATTGTATTTTATCGAGTGAATCTTCTTCAATGTTATATATACTTTCATTAGTTTTTAGAATATTTTCTTTAGAATTATTATATTTTTTAAGAGATTTTTCTTCCCTTGAAATCTTGTCTAAGCCTTTACCTAATCCTACAAGAAGAGTCAATTCGAACTTTTTATGTTGATTAATTTTTTTTTTGATAGGAACATGGAAGATCGCTCCTTGTTTGTCACTTTGAGTTTTCGTCATTAGGCGGGGAAGTTGAGGCTTATTCCCTTTTTCAAAATTTCTGTCCTCAAAATTTCTTGATTCGACGGAAGTTACGAGATTTTCCTCCGGTGAGTTAATATGTATAATATATGATTGAGTATACCTTGACCGTCGCATGATGCTTTCATTTCGTACCTTCTTGACTTTGTTACAATTCTTTTCCATATTTTATTCTACATCTTTGTACAATTTAAAATTATTCTTCAAATATTATTAAACAATTTCCAACAACAATCAAATCTATGAACCTGTCCGCCTCAGCAAAACAATTAATGAAATATATTTCATTTTCTCGGCGCGGAATATTATTAATATTATTATTATAAACAATAATATTATTAATAATAAAATAATATTCATAATAATTTCGGCGCACCGAATAGGAAAAACTTCTCAGTATCGTCATAGTCGCGCCCGCGACTCAGATTGTAGCCGAGAAAGAATCAACCTAACTCATAGACATATAGACCCATATTCAGAACGTGCTTATAACTATGTTAGCGCGCTGTTAACCAATGAAACGAATGAAAAGCTACGCAATATGCCTTCTGATTGGTTAACAGCGCACTAACATAGTTATAAGCACGTTCTGAATATGGATCATAATATATAGACCGCGCATTCGCAACGTTTCCTTTGTTTGCCCATGTTCAATATTAGAAAGAGGTAGCATGCTTTCGTAGAGCAGTCTGTCTTTTTCTAACGATGCGTGGTGGGGTATTTGGCCCCTCCGCCTGTTTAGAGTGGAATATTATGTCTCCGGTTCTCTTTCTTTTCGTGAAACAAAGCGTATGTAAACAAGACAATTGACATTAAAGATTATAAAACGTATTTACTCATAATAGTATAATCATAACACAAAAAGTATAATCGTAACACAATGAGTCTATATTGTTGTGTATGCTGCAGTAATGCATAAAAAAGTGACAAACAGATTATTTTCCACCGGTATATAATTATACCCATCGTCATATGTCCATATTCATCATTTTTCCATACAAAATCGTCATTTTTCCATATGCGTGTATTTATATCAGACGTATTTTCTTCTCTTTGCCTTTTATAATTCCTCTTTCTCTATATTCTCCTACTTCTGTTTCCCCTGTCACGGAAGACTGCTTTACCCCCACCACGCAACGTTAGAAAGCGATAGATTGCTCAACGAAAGCATGTTGTCTCTTTCGAATATAGAACGCCCCCTCCGCTGAACGCGCGGTCTATTTATTATATAGGGTTCTCAAAAAGTCTACGAACAATAAAATATCTCGAAAACAATCAGTTTTTGGAAAAAATATTTCAGGCAAGAGTTGTAAGGTTTAAAACGATCTATTTGCTGATCTTATCAGTTTGACCTTGGCTAGCGTCAACAAGGTCAGGGCAAAGTCACCTTGAACTTTTCAAATGGAACGCTCCACTTTTTTTGACATATTCTTATAACGTATTTCAAGAGCTTTCCAAAACACTACAACAAAGTATTTTTTTATTAAGTACATCCCGAGTTATGAAGCTTCAAAGTTACAGTACCGTCGGCATCAGCATTACCCAAGGTGTACCGTGTGGAGGTTGCACGATCGGATTTACACCTCTTGTGTGCGTGTGCGTGTGCGTGTGTATGCGTATGTGTGTGTGTGTGTGCGCGTGTGTGTGTGCGCGTATGTGTGCGTGTGCGTGCGCGCGCGCGTGTATATGTGTGTGTGTGTGTGTGTGTCTGCGTGTTATGTAACAGAAACAAGGACCCCACGGTTCGTCACTCCCGTAGTATTTCATGACTCCAAACCCTTTCTGTTGTGTAAAGTGACTTTATCTCATCTTTTAAGATGTGCAACATTTTTCAATTAATTAAATGTTCAAATTGTCTTCCTTCTACCATTTGACAATGAGCTAAACGTTCATAGAAATGACTGAGCACATCGTTTATTTGTTCTAAAGTGATGAGAGATGCTTCCCGCATTATTCGATTGCTAAGGTCTTCCAAATCACGTGGTTTTGTCGCATAAACCTAGTTTTTGAGATATCCCCAAAGAAAAAAATCTAAAAGAGACAAATCAGGTGATCTAGCAGGCCACTCAATAGCATCCCTCCTACCTATCCATCGACCAGGAAAAGAACGATTCAGAAATTCTCGACTTCTTATTGCGTAATGAGGCGGTGCTCCATCTTGCTGGAACCAAACATGTTGCATGTCTGCGCCAAATTTATTTCATATGTCGGGTATAATATGATCTCGCAATAAATTTTCATACTTTTCCGCATTCAAATTACCGTCTATCAAAAATGGACCAATAATACCGCGACTGCAAATTCCTGGCCAGACATTCAATTTTTGTGGATACTATGTTCGAAGATCACTCATCCAATGTGGATTTTCATCACTTCAGTATCTGCAATTGTGACGATTAACAGAACCGTTTACTTGAAACATAGCTTCATCTGAAAAAACAATAAAATTCAAAAAGTTATCATCAATTCGATTCATCATTTCTTCACAAAATTGAATTCTTCTATCAAAATCATCTTCCATAAGTTCTTAAGTGATAACAATTTTGTAAGGATGATATCAGGTGTAGTAAAAAGAAATTCATTATTTTTGCATGAAATTGAAGGCTTTAATTATCATAGTTAGAATGATCCGATTTAGGTCAAATATGCGCCGTTTTGTTCGATAACTTGTTGCCATTTTGAAGGTAATTTCATTATGCCTCTCTCATAGAAGCCCTCGTCCCTATTGGCAAAAAATTGAGACAGTCGATTTTCACAAGCCTCTCGAAGCGAATTTTTCACCAGCAAAATTGTTCGCCATGGACAGGAACAGATGGTAATCACTTGGTGCCAGGTCCGGACTATAAGGTGGATGCATAAGAACCTCCCAACCAAGCTCCCGGAGCTTCTGGCGAGTCACTATCGATGTGTGTGGCCTGGCGTTGTCCTGATGGAACACAATTCCTCTCCTATTGGCCAAAGCTGGCCGCTTCTGGGCGATTGCTTCCTTCAGACGGTCCAATTGTTGACAGTACAGTTCCGAGTTAAGAGTTTTGCCGTAGGGGAGCAGCTCATAGTAGATAATTCCCTGCCAATCCCACCAAACACACAGCAAAACCTTCCTGGCCGTCAATCCTGGCTTGGCCACCGTTTCCGCCGGCTCACCGCGATTCGACCACGACCGTTTTCGCTTGACGTTGTCGTAAGTGATCCACTTTTCATCACCAGTGACCAACCGCTTCAGAAATGGGTCGATTTTGTTGCGATTCAGCAGCGATTCGCAGATGGAAATTCGGTCCATGAGGTTTTTTTGCGTTAACTCGTATGGCACCCATACATCGAGCTTCTTTTTGTATCTAGCCTTATTCAAATGGTTCCAAACGGTTTTTTGTGCAATCTTTAGCTCTTGGGCAATCGAAACAGTGCTTACATGACAGTCGGACTCGACAATGTCCATGATTTTATCGATATTTTCGACAATTGGCCTTCCAGTGCGTGGTGCATCTTTGACATCGAAATTACCGGAACGGAATCGACGAAACTAAAATTGCGCGTGATTGGCTGTTACAGTATCAGGACCATAAACACTATTCACATTTTCAGCCTAGCTTGCGTTTTCGCCTTTATCGAAGAAAAACTGTAAAATATAGCGTATTTTCTCTTTGCTAGTGTCCATCTTTGACGTGCGCTCAAACAAAACTGAGTCAACTAATCACAAAACTGTCACAAAAGTTTTTTTAGTACGAAATCTCATCTTTCTAACGCCATATAGTGGAACCCAATCGGATTTATACAACGCGAGATACAGATAACTAAAGCCATCTATTGGAAAAATAATGGATTTCTTTTTACTACACCTGATATTTATGCTTTTTTAAAATGTTAAGAATGCTACTTTGACTGATATCCTGGGCTTGTGCTGTTCTTGGCACAGATATATGAGGATTTTCTTGAAATGACAGCAAAACATCCAAACTCATATCATTATTTATTGCGGATTTCGGTCTTCCGCTACGAGGTCGGTCTTGAACTGTTCCAGTTTCCAAAAAACGTGTCACTATGTACTGAACAGTAGATTTAGAAATAGGGGTGCGATCAGGATGTGTAGCATTGAAGAGATCAGCTACTTCCTGATATGATCTAACACGGTCTCCAAATCCTCGATATATAAGAGGCAAAATCCTTTCTTTTTCGATCAACATTTTTCAGATAGAAATTTTTAATTCTGGAACAAAAAAAGAACAAAACAGATAAAGATCGAGACGCAAGCGAATACGATTAGTTTGTAGAATACACGGAGCAAGAAACGTTTTCGAAAACCACCAGTATGCACGAGTTTTAGCTATAAATCCTCGTGGTGTCCGATGTTCACTAATGATCGCCTTTGATGTTAGTAGATCAAGTTGCCAAAGTAAACACCTTGCAAACTAAACTCTTAATAAGCTTTGTAGTTTACTCCTAGTTCGTAAAGTAGATTTTCTTAAATGTTCCCTTACGAAAATAAAGTACTAAGAATTACTGAAAAATTTACAGTGATTATTTACTGGCCAAATTATTACTGAAATACTGCTATCCCTATGAACGTTTAGCTCATTGTCAAATGGTAGAAGGAAGACAATTTGAACATTTAATTAATTGAAAAATGTTGCACATCTTAAAAGATGAGATAAAGTCACTTTACACAACAGAAAGAGTTTGGAATCATGAAATACTACGGGAGTGACGAACCGTGGGGTCCTTGTTTCTGTTACATAACACGCAGACGCACACATACACACACACACACACACACACACACACACACATACACACACACACACGCACACACACGCACGCACACACACACACACGCACACGCACACGCACACGCACACACGCACACGCACACACGCGCGCACACACACGCATGCACACGCACACGCACACAAGAGGTGTAAATCCGATCGTGCAACCTCCACACGGTACACCTTGGGTAATGCTAATGCCGACGGTACTGTAACTTTGAAGCTTCATAACTCGGGATGTACAAAAAAATACTTTGTTGTAGTATTTTGGAAAGCTCTTGAAATACGTTATAAAAGTATGTAAATAAAAGTAGGGCGTTCTATTTGAAAAGTTCAAGGTGACTTTGCCCTGACCTTGTTGACGCTAGCCAAGGTCAAACTGATAAGATCAGCAAATAGATCGTTTTAAACCTTACAACTTTTGCCTAAAACATTTTTTCCAAAAACTGATTGTTTTCGAGATATTTTATCGTTCGAAGGCTTTTTGAGAACCCTGTATGTCTATGGCCTAACTCGCGTCGCTGAGCGAAAACGAGAGCGAGAAAGAGGGAAAAATATTCTCGCTCGTGTCGCTGAGCGAACTCGAGAGCAAGAAAGAGGGAATGGTATTCTCTCTCTCGCTCGGCGCGCCGACGGTTGCCGAGCGCGTGGCCCACACAAATAAACCGAGCCGGCTGTGTGTGCGTGCGTGGTGGGGGAAATTCGCTGGCAAGTCCGTCACCGATTTCCCATCACTGGTTAGCAGTCCTTTTACCTCACTCCTTAAACAATCAGTGGTTCGATGCGCGAATTATATACCGCGAAGCCACTTCTACACGGTCTTTTGTTGTGCGTCGTATTCCGCCGGAACGGATGTAGAATTTTATGTTTTCTGGGGAAATTCCCCTCAGTGAACATGCGCTCTCGCCTTGGAATATCACGCCGAGAGACGACTATGCAGTTGGAATAATAAATACAAGTTTATAGCAAAATAAAATTACATGGAAAGGAATGAGACGGACCTCGTGACTCGATAAAAATAAAGCGTAGCGCAAAATTTTTATGGGTGAATATCTTATGCTCATGTGGATGGATAATGTGTGTGTTGAAGGAACTGATCAAGTCGTAAAACATAAACAAGTAGACACTGCGACGGTCTCTCAAAGTGTCTTCAATGCATTGTCTTCTTTTGCGAATAACAAAGTTATCTGAGCACTTCATAACATCGTCACAATTTTACTTATGGTACATTCTCCACTGCGGTCTCGTTAAAATCTCACCGAACAACGCTTTTAAGCGAATGTATTTAATCAAAATGTTTGAATGTATTAAAGAAATGTATTAAATTAAATTAAATTAAATTAAATTAAATTAAATTAAATTAAAAAATGTATTCTGTTCTTTACTTTACTTACTCTGCGCCTGTCTTTTATTTAATTGCAACTTGAGCACTTTTGTCTTGCCGTTATGATTGATTTTGTCGACCTTGTAACCTTCGCCCTGCAATTCCCCAGCAAGATCATCGACCAGTAGAGGTTTCTTATCCTCTTTGTCATTCTTCACCACTAGAAGAACCGTGGCCAATGGCGCTTCGAAGATATAATTTTTCTCTGATCACTGATTCGTTCTTATTCCATTCACGCTTGCCATTTATTATAATCCCATTTTTAATTTTAATTAAGAAGAAATATGGAAAGAAAGAAGCATATGATATTTCATGTATCGCTTCATGTCCTGATATTTTCAATTCGTCATGAATTTTCAATTTCAAGTTTTTCAGTGGAAAAATTGACTTTCAATAGAATTTTCCCATTAAATAAGATAGAGCCGTCCAGAAATTTATATAAAATATAACGGACAAGATTTTTGTATCTATGATCGTGTATACAGTCTGCACTTAGCTTTAGTATGTCCAGTACAATCTCGATAATTTCGTTCTTAATGTTTATTTATGTTAATAGGAAATGTTTATTTCCTATAATTCTTTGCTAGCACTGTTTTTTACAGCACTTAGATTAGGAACGAACACTATTGCATGATATTTCTTCTCGTGTATCGACGACGGCTGTAAGTCTGTCGGCAATGTGTAATTCTCGTCTGTCACTGCGATAAAAATGAACCGATCATTATGTGAGAACAAATATAAAGAAGTTACGTCGACTAACGCGAAGTAATCCACACGTGAATCTACACATTATTGTTATCTTCAAAGAGAAATTTCATCTCTCTCATTGCACGTTTAAACGAAATCTCTGCTTGGTTTTTCTCGAGATTTTTGTGCATGATAATTAACATTATGACGGATAGAGTTGTTCAAATAACGAAAATATCGCAAACTTCTACTATCTAAAGACTATTACCAAGATCCATCGGGCAATGATAACTCCGTGAAATGTTAAATTTCTCCACCAAATATATATCATTCCTACTAAACAATTATCATCGATGAAAAATTACGGAATACATATGTGGTAATACTATAAATTCGCATGACCTCTAAGTTATCTGAATGTTAATATTATGTAAATAAATGCTAGTTGTTTTTAGTACTAAACCGCGTTGAAATGTTAGAGCGATAAGAGTTGTCACAAAATATTCAGTGCGACGATTTAATTTACTGAAGAATAATATATGTTCAAGGAGTTTGAAGAAATCGCTCGTGCACAAATAGAACGGGTTAAGTTAAATAGAAAAGTTGTCTACTATTTTTTAAATAACTACGTAGAACTTCGAATGATTATCATGATATACCAATCTTCATTTGCTAATGACTTAAAATTTTACATAATTCTTTAAAAGATGTTGAGGGATTTTTTTATTTAATTTAATTAGGCCTATTTACACACGAGCGCCCGGCCGCATTATTTCAAATAACTTATAAAGGGTGTCTCAAAATGATCTGACATTTTAAATTGCGCGCCATTTTTTTTGTGGCGAACATAGAGTACTAATCTTTGACAACTGGCATCAGGAAGTATTGAGATTTAGTCATGAAGAATTACACGATCGAGCAACGTATAGAAATTGTGAAAATTCACTACAAAAATGGTGAAAATTTTGCAGAGACGGTTCGAAAAGTCCGCACGTCTTTTGGTTATCATAACGCACCACTGTGGTGCATTTAATAAAAAAATTTGAGGTTAGTGGTTCAATTCTGACCGCGAAAAGTAGTGACCGTTTTCGTACCGGTCGGCCGAATGAAAACATAGCCGCAGTGAGTGCGAGTGTTGACCAAAGTCCTTCCACCTCGATTCGCTATCGTGCTCAGCAATTGGACATTTCAAGATGCTCTGTGCAGCAAATGTTGACGAAAGATCTATATTTGCATGCTTACAAAATCCAATTGACACAAGAACTGTAACCAGCAAACCATGCGCAGCGCCGTACATTCGCTAATTGGATATTGGAGCATCAACAAATCGATGGTGATTTTTCGAAGAAAATCATCTTCAGCGATGAGGCGCATTTTCAACTTAATGGCCTCGTGAATAAACAAAACTGTCGAATTTGGGGGATCGAAAATCCAAAAGATCCAACAACTTCCCATGCATTCACCACGAGTCATTATTTGATGCAGATTTTGGGTTGGAGGAGTGATTGGGCCGTACTTTTTCGAGAATGCTGCGGGAAATGCGGTTATCAATGATGTTCGTTACCGTGACATGATAACCAACTTTTTATGGAATAAATTGAACGGTATGGACTTGGAAAACATATTCTTTCAACAAGATGGCGCAACCTGCCACACTGCGGACGAAACAATGCAGTTATTGTAGACGAAGTTTCATGGTCGTGTCATTTTGCGCCGCGGCGATGTGAATTGGCCACCAAGATCGTGCGATTTGACACTATTAGACTTCTTTCTTTGCGGTTTTCTGAAAGGAAAAGTGTATGCCAATGATCCACAGACCATTCTGGAGCTCAAGGAAGAAATTAGACGCACCATTAATGAAATTAGTCCGCAATTATGCCAAAATGTCATTGAAAATTTTGTCAAAAGGATGAACGTTTACAAACAGCGTCGAGGCGGCCATTTACCGGATGTTGTGTTCCACACATAACCACCATGTTTGTACCTTATATTAAAATAAAAACATTCGTACTTTTTAAATAAATAATATGTTTTATTAATAAATTAAAATGTCAGGTCATTTTGAGACACCCTTTATCAACAACTTTGTTTATCTTGCAATGTCACATTCTATTATTATTATTAAGTCTAATAGTTAATTCTTTCCGATGAAATTTACATAGTTCAGAGCAAAATTTGAAATTGAAATATTCTTCCAGTTAATATCCAGTCACTCGGGTTTTGACAAATTTTCATCATTCTCAATAATTATCAACGAATTGCTGTATATAACGTGCTAGTGTGGGCACTGGACCGATCCCGAGAGATCCTGAGAGGTACACTCATGCAAAGTGGCAGCCTCTGTTCTCTTTTCCTGAACAAGTCATCTTAGACAACAGTAAGTTTATTTATTCTCTACCTTTATACCATCATTTTATTAATTTCATCCGTTATTATTGAATCCATTTTCAGTGGGTCACTATTATCATACCAATGTGTCTATTCAAAGAGTTATTGACTCGTTCCAATCAATTTTTGAAACCAGAGATCCCGCTGCAATAGAAATCTAACTCTCAATACCTCCGAGCGATTATCAATATTTCATTAGAAACTAACTATAACCCAGATCCGTCACTCCTCTTTATACCACCCTACATTCTCCCTCAACGATCATCCCCTGCTCCTTCCTCTTCTCCTACACGCGCGTCCACCCCCTCGAGCCCTTCAATTTCTTATTCTCCTGTCCCTTTTTCCGAACTGTCCACTCCCCTCAACTCGCCAGACCGCTCTCGTTGCCCCTCATCCGACTAACTTTCTATTCGTATTCCTTCCTTTTTATCGCTCCCTTTTTTTCTACTTCACACCCACACACACACACACATACGCATACAATCATTCGCGTAACTGTAAATTGTCATATTCTAAATCGCGCCGTTGTAGTATTTTGTTTGTTATCCTTATTTAAAAAAAATTTATTATTAATCTATTTTCACTAATTAATTTCAAAATCATCCCACCTTCCAGCAGTCGACTCATGGTCCTACTCCCGGTAAAGGAATTCGCGTCCCTGACCGAAAAACGGACCGCTCGTCGTACGTCAGCGAGTGAAAGGGATCCGTCGAATCCCTGACCCGTTCCCTGACACGCGTGTATGAACGAGGTTCGCCTTTCCCGCGAACGGAAAAGTTGCGCTCCTCCTCTAGGACGTAACAGTTGCTTGTAACGTACACGTTATATTACGTGTTATATTTTATTACATTACGACAATGTAATGTAACTGTGTTTACTGGGATAGTTCTGCTACATGTCGAGAATTTTTCTCACATTCTTCCGGAATTAGCAAATAATTAGCATATAAACTTCTATGTTCTATGAAATCATGCTTTTCGAAAATAATACCACGAAAGTCAACTTAGAACTGACTGAACATATATAAACTTATATTAGTTTTTCAAATCGATGAATGTGTAGGATATTGAACTCTATGATATGAAGGATATTGTACTCTATTCAAGTCTCTCAATAAAAACAAAGACAAGAAAGTTGATACAAACAAAAAAAACATAAATACATAGTACACATACACGCATTAGTATAGTCATCCATTTTTAACCATGGGGATGTATCAAAGAAAAAGTTGTTTTAACCACCTACGACGAAAAAAGATTTAAAATGAAGAATACGTCAAGCTTACGCTAACGTAACCCCACAAATATTGTTTAGAGATAGACAAAATTTTGTAAAAGAATTAGTAAGTGTTTAAATGTGAATGGTCAACACAGTCAAAGTGTTTAAATGTGAATGGTCAACAGTTCAAACATTTAGTAAAATAAGACATGTGAAAAACTATGAAGTTTTTTATTTATTTTATGGTTTTATTACTTTAGTTTAAATGCATTATATTTTATTGTAAAGTTTAATTTTATTTATAACTTTCGACAAAAATATTTTTTCAAGAAATTTCTCAGATAAAGTTTACTTGTTTTTTTTCGTAGAATCCTGTAGAAATGTGTAACATTTTATAGGAGGTTTGATTTGAAATTACAAAGTTACCTTCCACTTCTTTTCAGGGGAAAGCATGGGTGTACATTTGTTTATATGGTTAAAAAGACTTCTCGAATATAGTGAAGTTTTGTCATGAACAATTTTTTGATACAACAAATAGTTTTAGAGCTTTTATGTCGTCACACTTTATGTGGGCCATGAACGCCTGTATAATTTCTTTTGTTACAGTTAAAGATAACAAATTTTTAATTGATAATTACCTGCTTATCTTTAATGCTATTCCCTGTCGCGACACATTCCGCATGAGTCTTTTAGTTGCCCTGGTGGGCAGGTCACTATGTTAAATTCCGGGGTGTCTATAATAACACGTATATCAATCAATGATTCATATGATGTTGAAGGTGTGTTGGTCGTAGATGAAAGCTGTGTTATTGGACGGACTTTTTTTGACATTCCTATGTTGGTTGTAGACGGAAGCTGTGTTGTTAGACGCACTGTTTTAGACATTCTTATATCGGTCGAAGACGGAAGCTGTGTTGTTGGAGATACTCCTTCTGACATTCCTATGTCGTTCTTAGACGGAAACTGTGTTGTTGGAGGTACTTTTTCTGACATTCCTATGTCGGTCGTAGACAGAAGTTGTGTTGTTAGACGGAGTCTTTTTGACATTCCTATGTCAGTCGTAGATGGAAGCTGTGTTGCTGAAGGTACTTTTTCTGACATTCTTATGCCGTTCGTAGACGGAAGCTGTGTTGCTTCAAGTACTCTTTTTGATATTTCTATGTTGGTCGTAGACGGAAGCTGTCTTGTTGGAGGGACACTTTTTGATATTCCAAGTGATATTAGACTGAATGTTATCAGCATAATTATTAAGAAAACATAGAAGAATACTTTCATTATGCCGTTTAATAATCTCGATGTTCTCTACAACCTTAAAGCCAAGAAATTAAAGTTAGGAAGTCAAATTTCTTTTAGCACCTGTTTTATTATAGTGATAACTTATTTTTGTTGAATTTCGTAAAATCCATTAAGCACAGTTTCCGCAAGTTAATCCGTATTTTATTTACGAAAATTTAATACGAGTTTGAATCTTTCCGACACGTCTTACCGCCCTGACGAATTAACACGTATTGCAAGATATTTCTTATGCATGCTATATATATTTCATTCTTGTTTCCTCGTTCGTCACGCAATTACATTGCGTTTTTGTAGAGTTTCATACAAGCCTACACAACGGCAAAACCAGTTTTATAAAGTATCTTTTCCTGCTAGTACGCATATAACAAACTCAGGCAGCAAGGTGACATGATTTTCACGCTGAGAAATGGTGATTACCGGTCCTAGAAGTCATATGCTCAATAAGTGACGTTCCAAAAACGTGATTATTCTAACGTCATAATAACGTCAATTTACAGACGTCTAAAAATGTTTTTGTGACGTAAGTTTCATCCAGTTATATGAGAAGCTGAGAACGAAGTGGCAGATAGTTTTTTAATGTTCTTTTTTATCAATTGTTTTTGTGGTTTTAGTAAACGATAACTCAATGAAAAATCGACGACGTCGGCATGAGGTCGAATCGACATCGATTTGACGATTTTAACGTCGATTCGACGTTGTTTTGACGTTGATCGAGGAATTATTTGTCACTGAGCAGTTATTATTAATATAAATTATTATTTATTATTATTAATACTATTATTAATACTATTATTTTATTATATATATTATTGTTGTTATTGTTCTTATAACTCAAATACTTGACTCTTGATTTCTTTCAACGCTTGAATGTGCATTTGTTTCGTTCTATAGCTTTGTTTCGATATTCACTTCTATACTAAAAATCTATAATTAGCGATATGTTACTATAGTATACGTACACGTTAGCATATGCGGATGATCTGGCAGTATTGGCAGAGTATGAGGAGGGGATGAAGGGAATGATGGGGAAACTGGAGGGATACTTGGAAAAGAAGGGATTGGAAATAAATATAGAGAAAACGAAAATAATGAGGTGCAGGAAAAGTGGTGGAAAATGGAAGAAAGTGGATTGGAGATGGAAAGGGAAGAGGATAGAGGAAGTAAAGGAATATAAATATTTAGGATACGTGATGAGGAGGAACGGGGGGCAAGAGGAGCAGATCAAGGATACGGTAAAGAAAGGAGCGAAGGTGATGAAACAAATATGGGGGATAGGAAAGAGGAGGTTTGGAAAGGACTGGGGTAGGAGGGTATGGCTGTTCGACAAATTAGTGTGGTCGGTGATAAGTTACGGAGTAGATATATGGGGATGGAAAGAGAGGAGAAGGATAGAGGAGCTACAGGAAAGATATTTAAGATGGATATTGGGGATAGAGAGGTGGACCCCAGGGTATATAATAAGAGAGGAGATGCAGAGGGAATTAATGAGAAGCAGAGCGGGAATGAGAGCATGGGGATATGAGAAGAGACTGGAGGAAGGGAAGGGAGGAGAGATAGCAAGAAAGTGCTGGATGGAGATGAGGAATAGAGCAAGGAGAGGAAAGGAACTGGGGAAATTGGAAGAAGAAAGAAGTTTTTTTGAGGAAAGGGGATGGAAAATAGAAGAGATGGATGAGATAAGGGAGGGAGGAGGGGAGAGGAAATAAGGATGAGAGAGGGGTGAAGACAGGAGGAGGAAAGATGTAAAAAGATAAGAGAATCAAGATACAATGAGGGATATGGAAGGGTGAAGGGGAGGGGGGTACCAGAATATTTGAAAAGGGGGTGGGGAGAGAAGAGATGGAGGAGGATAGTGAGGTTCAGGATGGGATGTGAGTTAAGAGAAGGAAGGTATTGGGAGGAGGAGGAAAAGAGGACATGCAGGATGTGTGGGAGAAGGGAAGAAACATGGAAGCATATATGGGAGGGATACAGGATGGGGGGAAGAAAGCGGATGGCAGGAGATGGAGAGAGAGGTACTGGGAGAGGAGGGAAAAGGGGAGAGGTGGATGAAGGAAATGGAAAAATGGTGGGGAGGAGAGGGAGGAAGAGGAGGGGGGAAGAAAGTGGGAGGGAGGAGGAGAGGGAGGGAGATAAAAGGAGCACCGGAAACGGAGGTCATGGGATGAGAGGAAAGGAGTGGAGAGTGAGAGAGGAGGAGAGAATGGAGAAGAGTGATATAAGTGTGAGAAGCTCTCTCTCTCTCTCTCTCTCTCTCTCGATCGAGCGAGCGATTAGTAAATAAGAGATAAGAAAGCGAGAGGAAATGTAAAAGTTAGGATAAGAATTGTAACCCCAAGGGGAGCCAATAAAGATTACATACATACATACATACTATAGTATACATATTGGCAGTGAATATTATTGGTGCATTCTCTTAGATCCAATAATACAGGGTGTCCCATTTTAAGTGTCCCCTCCGAGTATGATCCCAAATATTTCTCTTATTTTTGATTTTAGAGAAAAATGGTTCAGACACGTTTTGTATGGTTTCGAGGAGGCCATAAGATGGCACCATTGATTTGACCTTGAAGAGTCATTTGAAGGTCACGTGAAGGTTACCTCAATTTTTTTAGATAGTACCCCCTATTTTTTATTACATATTCTTGTAGCTGACCTCGAGAGCTTCCCAAAACACTATAACCAAATGTTTTTCGGTGAAGTACTTTTCGAGTTATAAAGCTCCAAATTTACAAAATTTTGATAAAAACACAAAATATTTCGTAAAACATTCACTTTCCGATAGTTTTATCTTACATGATCCAACCAGTCAAAGCAAGATCCGAGCATGATCCAACCAGTCAAGGCAAGATCCGAGCATAATCCAGCCAGTCAAGACAAGATCCGAGCATGATCCAGTCAATCAAGGCAAGATCCGAGCATGACCCAGCCAGTCAAGGCAAGATCCGAGCATGATTCAGCCAGTCAAGGCAAGATCCGAGCATGATCTAGCCAGTCAAGATGAGATCCTGTATTGCCTGATAATCAATGAACTGTAATAATTGTGAAAGTGCAATTGTCAATTTTTTTAATGAAACAAATATCAAGAAGCTTGCTTCAAATTTCTTACTTGGGCAACTATCGGTATTTTGGCGAAGTCTCAGACAGACGCATATTATTATCCATTGATTTTTTTTTTGATAAGACAGGAATTTTTGGTTTTTTGGCGCTTTTTTTCTTTATAATTGTGGCTGTTTATTCACCAAATGAAATTGTGGACATGATTCGCATTTCGGGTGAGGCCAGGAATAATTATTCGGCAGCAGAAAGGCTTTATGCTAAAAGATTTCCAGACAATCGTCATCCTGATGGGAAAGTAATAAAAAGACTCTGCAACAGAGCTGAACAGGGTTTTCTTAGAAGAAACCGGCGAAAATCGGGCCCTGATGAAGTCACATCATTGACTGTTATACGTGCCGTTGCTTTGAATCCTCAAATCTCTACGAGATAAATTGAGAGGCAATACGTTATATCTAAATCAACAGCCAATCGTGTGCTCAAGCTCAACAAGTTTCACCCATATCACATTCATCTAACTCAGCAATTGGAAGAGAGGGATTACCAACGCCGTGTTTTTGTAACTGAGCTCGAGATCAAATCCAACAAAGTCCCTGGTTCATTGCTGATATGCTTTTTCTGATGAAGCCACGTTTTGTAATAGAAGAGGCGTTAATAGACATAACTGCCATTATTTTTCAGATGCTAATCCACATTGGCAGAGAAGCCAAGAGTTCCAACGGCAGTGGTCCATTAACGTTTGGGTAGGCATCCTGGGAGATGTTATGGTTGGTCCATATTTTTTGAAGAAATGCGGCAATCTCTCTAAGATTTCTTCAAGATGGCCTGCCCAACCTCTTGAGACATGTCGATAATGATTTACTCAGACCAATGTGGTTCCAACACGATGGAGCACCGGCTCATAGACCTCGAGCTGTTACACAATATTTAAACAATAGATTCCCGAATAGGTGGATTGGTATGGGCAGCCGAGTTCAAGATCACCCGACTTGACACCCCTAGATTTTTATTTCTGGGGCTACATTAGAGATATAGTTTATTCGCAAAAGCCTACAACCGTTGAAAATATGAAAAACCGAATCAGACAGGCTTGCAGAAATATTAATGTAGGTGTTCTTGAAAAAGTTAGGGACGACTTTCACCATAGACTAGAGCTATGCACAAAAGTAAATGGCCAAGTTTTTGAACACTTTATGTAATTGTACACAAAAGAAGATCTTGCCTTGACTGGTTGGATCATGCTCGGATCTTGCCTTGATTGGTTGGATCATGCTCCGATCTTGCCTTGACTGGCTGAATCATGCTCGGATCTTGCCTTGACTGGCTGGGTCATGCTCGGATCTTGCCTTGATTGACTGGATCATGCTCGGATCTTGTCTTGACTGGCTGGATTATGCTCGGATCTTGCCTTGACTGGTTGGATCATGCTCGGATCTTGCTTTGACTGGTTGGATCATGTAAGATAAAACTATCGGAAAGTGAATGTTTTGCGAAATATTTTGTGTTTTTATCAAAATTTTGTAAATTTGGAGCTTTATAACTCGAAAAGTACTTCACCGAAAAACATTTGGTTATAGTGTTTTGGGAAGCTCTCGAGGTCAGCTACAAGAATATGTATGTAATAAAAAATAGGGGGTACTATCTAAAAAAATTGAGGTAACCTTCACGTGACCTTCAAATGACTCTTCAAGGTCAAATCAATGGTGCCATCTTATGGCCTCCTCGAAACCATACAAAACGTGTCTGAACCATTTTTCTCTAAAATTGAAAATAAGAGAGATATTTGGGGTGGACTCTTAAAATGGGACATCCTGTATACACAAATTAGATGCAATAGTTCACTTCGCGTTCAGTGAGCGGGTGTAGTATAGAATGAATCCATGGTGTAGTATAGAAGCACAGTCGATCAGGGCGTACAAACTCCTCGTATTTTAGGGGTGACGGAAGTGATTAGTTCGCTTATTCTTTCGGTACGTAGGCCGAGGGCAGCACAGTCGATTCCTCACTACCGCTCGTCGGATGCCATATTGGACACTTACTGTTTACCAGTTTTCTGGAGTAGTAGGAATTTTGTGTATTTTGTGCGATAGCAAGTGATAGCAAGTGATCATTAATTTAGTGAGAGGTGTTTATTTTCAGATTATTTGCAGGTTATTTACAGGTTATTTTCAGGTTATTTACAGGTTATTTACAGGAAGAAGAGCCAAGTAAGGGGAGAGAGCGTGTGGAGATAAAATATTTCTATTTCTGTAAGTAAATATTTATATGTAAATATGTAAATCGGTTTAAATTATTTCACGTTGTTCGTTGATCTTTCCTAAGGTCTCAGATAGCACAAATGTTTTAAACACATTTGACTTATATTAAAAGACATATTAAAAGCAAGACGTCTCTCTTTTATATGCTTTTAGACGTATCTTATTGTAGATCGATGTTAAGAGTGAGTGTATGAATGCTTATGTGCAGTGATGCACATATATGGTGCAGGTTGTTAGTGCATCAAATTTTTTTAACCACACCAGGTATATGGCAGAAAAGTATCTGACAGTCCGCAGTCTGCAAGTGGGACGGAAAAAATTTGATGCATAAAATTCATTGTAATTATTTTTCATTGAACTGTAAATAATTTCATTAAACTACATATATATATATAATATATATACCATTGTAACTAAAAAAATATATATGTATAATATGTTTATAAAAAATTGTATACTGCTTATACGAAAATTGTATACTGCTTATTTCAATAAAATTTGCGAACCCTATTATTCACACATACACACATCACAAAAAAATATATATATATTGAGTTGAATAATAATTAATTTCTTAGTTTTCAGGTACAATGGAATAACTATATGTTTATGTCATTATAATTTCATGAAATAATGTATGTAATATATTGAACTATTGGGTTCCTCACAAAGTGCTTGCGTTCATTAACATCATTGATTCATGTTAATTCTTTGTATAAAATTAAGTTTTGAAAATCACTGAAAATCCTGCAATGACTTTTTGAACAACCCAATATCATCTACCATCTATCGCATACATTGCTTCATGAAATTATAACAACATACAAGTATTGTTTAATTTTACAAAAAAAATACAAAATTTATATATTTTATATATTTATATGTAAGGCCTGTTCTTTTTCGCTGCACTGCTGCACTGATGCAATAAGTTAGAATGAGAAATATATATTTGTTTCACTCTAACCTATTGCATCAGTGCAGCAGTGCAGCGAAAAAGAATAGGCCTTATATTTATACATATGTGTACTGGATTTAAATGTAGCGCGTATCCCCACTCTGTATCACGTGACCCATTTTAGTTCCATTAGTTCCGGTACGTATCATGGTGGCGCTCCAAAGACCCTCGGTTTCTAAGAGGGGAGTTTGTACCCTCTGCAGTCGATGAGCGGGAGTAATTCAGTTAACACGTGCGAGTGGTGATATCTTAGCAGTTTATAACATTGTCCAGCTTTTTTACCGTAAGTATTTATTTTTAAACTTTAAACATATTTCACTCTATTATTATTTTAATGTTTCGTCTACGTTATATTGTAGGTTAAAGAACCCCGTAAAGGCTACGTTATATTGTAGGTTAAAGAGTCCCGTAAAAGCTAAGGTCCACGATACTAGAATTCGGTTCAAGATCTCAATTCGAGGAACATGCAGCCAGTAAAATTAACATTTTTCCGTAAAAGGTGCAAATTGATTAGTAATATATTTTTCGGATCTAGATCTCGGGCCAATTGTTAGTATCGTGGACTTTAGCCTTAAGAAATCTGATCCACCCCACGAAAACAGGAACGTTATATCTACGTGAAATTCATGTGATTTTGTGGATTCCACGTGGATTCAACCTACGTTTTCGTGGGGCATTAATTTATCTATTATATCCTTTCTTAATGAAAACATCAAAGTTAGTTAAAACAAATTACATATAAGCTTTTATAATTGTAAAGTTATAAGTGGAAAAATAGTTCGTAAAGGAAAAAAGAATTGTGACAAAATCAATTTATACTCCTTATAATCTAACCTAACCAATGAATATTTATACTCAACTTTGCTCGACACATGTGCTAGACTCATCAGTACTGTAAAGTTAATTTTATTCTTTTAAACATAGAAAAATGTTGTTTAAATTTATTACAAACAATATGAAATATTTAACTCTTTGTGATTATGTGTTATTAAAAATTTTTAGGTGCAACGACATTTACTTTGTAGTTATGTCGTTATGTGAGTTGAATTTGCAGATGATGGTGATGTGGCTCTGATAAACAGTTTGTGGCTAACACTACGTAAACAAGAGGTATTCTGGCCACCTTACAAATCTCAATCTAAATTTGATAAGGCAATGAAAAGTAGTATAATCCCAGAAGAAAACAGTTTTTGGGCCATTTATAAAATTAAACGATACTTTTTTGAAACAGGTAAAATATAAATTACATATTTGATGAAATATTTATTTTAATATATATGTGTAATATTGTATATTTTGTAATATTATAGATGACTTTAATAAGGCGCAACATAAAATAAAGCAAGCACAATTAACGTCTGATTGCCAGAGTGACGCTGAAGACATTTTGCCAACTAAAAGGAAAATACAAAGATCAACAAGATTTTTAAGTGATAGCAGATGATAATAACGACATTTTATCAGGGAAACACAAATTTCTACCACCACCAAAAATTGCCAGAATATATGAGAACACTGAATCACCTCCATTATCAGGTATGTTTGTAACATGCTTCTTTAAGTTTTACCATGATCAAAGGTGAAGGTTTATTTATTCACTGTTGGAAAATTCAATGAAAAAGATAGAAAGTGAGCTTATGTACAAATAGATAGACAGAGACTGCAATGTTTTATAACTTATTCATAATAAATAAATAAAAATATAGTGTAACATATGAATTCCCAGAAATAGTCAAAATAATATTCTGTCGTCATTTTGATCAACAAATGGCATTTTTCATTGTTATTACATCTAAATGACACATCAAATTGATACGATTTTGACCATTAATCCATCATGGGCTGCGTTCAGCAGAACAAAGTGATCAGTGAGCGCTTAGTGATTATTGCCTGTGATTGGAGCATTCTTTTAGATTCTTCATAGACCCAGAAGTATTTACCAATCAGGAGCGAGAATTACTAAGCGCTCACTGATCATTTTGTTCTTCTGAACGCAGCCAATGTTTCTTACACACACACGCATGCGTATACATGCGCGCGCATACACACATACACATTTACACATTATTAATCGATATGTTTTAGAGAAACGTATCCAACAAATTGCAACAACAGATATATTGAACTCTTCTAACATTGATCTTCAAATACCGTATGATAATACTCGACCTGATAGGGTATATAATTTCACATCTTTTAATAATACTCCAACTACATCAACTGCTGTGGAAAGTAACTCTCAAGATGGTGTTTACTATAAGACTACAGGTAAAACTCAAATTTTTTGTTAGCGGTAAATATATGAAATTCTATATCCAGATGACTATTTTAGTGTTGGTTTCTAATGTAATATATTACAAATTTGCGCGCAATTTGTTTAGTGTATGTGTGTGTGTATATATAAATATATCATTATATTATTATTAAATATTTTCTTTTCAGTAATGAAGAAATTATTATTCATCGTTATTCATATTAAAGAACAAAATAACGAGATTTTGACACTACTTAATAAAAACCAAGTGACTCCAACTACTTCGACTCTATTTAGATTAGAAGACTTGCCAGTAAATTTGCCTATATCGACCCAAGCAGATTAAAATATTTTGGAAACATACTTAAAAAATAATCATAATTTATCAATTATGGTAAGCAATTGTTATTAAACCAAGAAATTGTTATTTTTCATTAGTACAGGTTTTAATTTCATTTTGTAGTGTTTATATTTGGCCACATTGGGTGGAAAAGATCTTACATCAAAAACGAATAAAATTTGCAGATATCTTTTAACAGATGACGTTGTTTTCATGTATAGTTTGGCAAACGAACGAATAAACATCCTTTTTCTTCCTTAAAATGCTGCACTATTACATTTCGTAAGTATCTTATTTTTGTATATATTTTAAAAAACTTTATTATATAGTATGTCCTTAAATCATTGTCCATAGAAATTTATTAAAAAAAATTTTATAAAAAAAAAAATTTTATACCAAGTAATTATTAACTAAAACATTTATTATATAATTATATGTTACTTAATATTAGGTGTAGTAAAAAGAAATCCATTATTTTTGCATGAAATTGAAGGCTTTAATTACCAGTTAGAATGATCCGATTTAGGTCAAATATGCGCCGTTTTGTTCGATAACTTGTTGCCATTTTGAAGGTAATTTCATTATGCCTCTCATAGAAGCCCTCGTCCCTATTGGCAAAAAATTGAGACAGTCGATTTTCACAAGCCTCTCGAAGCGAATTTTTCACCAGCAAAATTGTTCGCCATGGACAGGAACAGATGGTAATCACTTGGTGCCAGGTCCGGACTATAAAGTGGATGCATAAGAACCTCCCAACCAAGCTCCCGGAGCTTCTGGCGAGTCACTATCGATGTGTGTGGCCTGGCGTTGTCCTGATGGAACACAATTCCTCTCCTATTGGCCAAAGCTGGCCGCTTCTGGGCGATTGCTTCCTTCAGATGGTCCAATTGTTGACAGTACAGTTCCGAGTTAAGAGTTTTGCCGTAGGGGAGCAGCTTATAGTAGATAATTCCCTGCCAAACACACAGCAAAACCTTCCTGGCCGTCAATCCTGGCTTGGCCACCGTTTCCGCCGGCTCACCGCGATTCGACCACGACCGTTTTCGCTTGACGTTGTCGTAAGTGATCCACTTTTCATCACCAGTGACCAACCGCTTCAGAAATGGGTCGATTTTGTTGCGATTCAGCAGCGATTCGCAGATGGAAATTCGGTCCATGAGGTTTTTTTGCATTAACTCGTGTGACACCCATACATCGAGCTTCTTTTTGTATCCAGCCTTATTCAAATGGTTCCAAACGGTTTTTTGTGAAATCTTTAGCTCTTGGGCAATCGAAACAGTGCTCACATGACGGTCGGACTCGACAATGTCCATGATTTTATCGATATTTTCGACAATTGGCCTTCCAGTGCGTGGTGCATCTTTGACATCGAATTACCGGAACGGAATCGACGAAACCAAAATTGCGCGTGATTGGCTGTTACAGTATCAGGACCATAAACACTATTCACATTTTCAGCCTAGCTTGCGTTTTCGCCTTTATCGAAGAAAAACTGTAAACTATAGCGTATTTTCTCTTTGCTAGTGTCCATCTTTGACGCGCGCTCAAACAAAACTGAGTCAACTAATCACAAAACTGCCAGAAAAGTTTTTTTAGTACGAAATCTCATCTTTCTAACGCCATCTAGTGGAACCCGAACAGACTTATCAGATCAGACCGATCAGACGACGCGAGATACAGATAACTAAAGCCATCTATTGGAAAAATAATTGATTTCTTTTTACTACACCTGATATTAAAAGCAAAACCCATACATACATGCAATTTATTTGATTATTAATTATTTACAATTGTAAGGTGTAAAATACATATAAGAATTAAATAAATCACCTTTGTGCGTATTAATGACACTAATAACTGTAAATGATATTAATACAATCTGAATAATAGTTTTAGCTAATATTATAAATACAATATAAAATTTCTATGAACCCCGATTCATAAAATCTGGAAGAGAACATTGCATGCTACTTACATGTTTCTAATGCAAAGTTTTGGTTTGACAGAAGCGGTAAAATCTACTTCATGTTAGACAGAAAAAGAAATTGAAGATGTAATTAAGGTATGGCTTAAACATGCACCTCAGCGTATTAAACTTCGCAATATGAAGAATAGGGTACCTGAATACGATTAAGTAAGTTGTAGTTTAAAGACTTATTTATTCTTTGTTCTGTAATACGTTACATATAAGAATTGTCTTTCAATATTAGTTATAATTATGTTTCATAACTTTATTTATGTTTCAATTAAAAGAAAAAGATATTTTCAGTTTCTGTTAATGCAAATAGTTCGAACATTTAGGTCGAAGTTTTGTATTTGTGTTACATTTATTACTATTTTTTAGTTATTTAGTGTATAACGTTCCTCCCCGATGAGGTGCCACCTTGACGTGGTGGGGAGGCTCAAGCGATCCGTTGATCCATGTGGGCAGTACCTCCGGTCCAACCGGAGGGAGGGCCACATGAGGAGGATTGTTTGCCAAGAGCACCTTGGCCTTACCCCGAATAATGCGGGGGCTCTACACGGGGTCGACGCCCCTTTCCTGCCGCATTCGTGGGTACAGAAATGGACTCATATTTTTCTTTTAACAAAAACCTCGAGCCTTTGGGCTCAGAGTCTTCGGACTCAATGCTCCGTGTGGATGGGTGGCAACCCGTCCGAGAGCATACCACCCCCTGTCACTTTGATAGGGGGTGATTTTTCAGGTGATAGTGTGGGTGAAGGAGAGGTGGTAGGAGTCCGTCAGGCAGGCGCCTCCTCCTCTCCCCCAGAGGAAGGTACGGCCATGGACCTCGGGGGAATAGCCCCCGAGAGGCCACTAGAAGAGGACATACCACCGTCTTCGCCGGCGCAGGGCTTGAGCCGTAGCCGGCGGCTCTCTTCCGACCGCGGAGGAGGAGCGGTGAGCCTGTCGGGCAGGTTACAGGCGGCCACCCATAGTGGGACCGATACGTCACCTGGGTCCGGTTGTAAAATACCGGTACCGGTGGCCAGCAAACCGGGTCCTCGCTGCACTAAGGTGGCAAGGGACCGGTCTCCAGTTGTCCTCCTCCATGACACCCTGGGGACACGAGGGGGGACCCTCCCCATAAAGGGGGGGACAAAAGGAGAAGGGCCTCGGGAAGCGGAAGGAGGCCACGGGGGAGGCTGTTGCGTCCGGACGGACCACCGGAGTTCCGGTGATCCGCTCAGACGTTATTTTGACGTAGGATTCCAGGATCTCGATTCCAGCCCTTAATAGGGCTGTGCGGACCTCAACTTCGAGGAACATTCAGACCCTGGAGGCGGGAGTAGCCGGCGGCACCAGCGGGAGAACCCGGGCCTCGACATCAGGGGTGACTGGTGGTATGGTCAAGGCCACCCATGCCTCAACACTGAGGGCTGCTGGGACTTCAACATCGGGGGCTATAGGTGGCACCAGCGGAGCAGAACGGCCGTCCATGCCAAGGGCGACTGAAGCTTCGGAGTGCCAAAGGAGGAACGGCCAACACCGTTAGTAGGAAGAGGAATAGGACGGGTAACAGCAGCGGCTCGTCCGTGGCGGAGTCCCCATTCTCATACCGGTCCCCGAAAAACGGGGAAGACCCGTCACCACGGATGAAGGAGTGGGGATAAGGGAGACGAAAGCAGCGGAGCAAGAGAGGAGAGGGATGGAATTGGAGAGGCTAGAGAGGGAGGCCTGGGACTTCATCGACAGGGGCCTGGTTAGGTCCTTGGTGGACACGCGCCCGGCCGAGGAGGTCTTTAGGGACCCCCTCAACCATTGAACTCCTTGAGGGGTAGGGTCCCTGAATTGGCCTCGGAGGTGGGCCGTGCGCTCGGCACGGTGAAACTGGCACGGAGTTCTAGAACGCTCAAGGGAACGTTTGTGTCGCTGTTAAACCGTGCCGTGGCCATCTCCGAGGCCGTCATGGCCACACTGATCGTTAGGACAGCGGAGCAGGATGGGGGGGAGGATGAAACCTCCGCTATAAAGAAAGAGATGGAGGGGCTGAGGGGGGACAATAGGAGGCTGAGGGTGGAGACGGGACGATTGGCGGAGGAGCTTAGAGCTCTCAAAGCCTCCGCCCCGACCCCCACTCGTTTCCCCCTCTGCCCCCGCCTTTGGGTTTCAGGAGGAAGACCTACGCGGACGTGATCGGGAGCTCAACATCCGCAGAGGAGGAGTCGAGGACGTTGGAGAAGAGGAGAAGGAAGAGGAGGAGGAGGATCAAGACCCAGTCCTCCTCTTCTTCCCTCAAGGATAGGGAGGAGAGGAAGGGGGACGAGGCCTCCCCCGTTGAGGTGCCGTCGTTCGATGACAACCTCCCGGAGGAGGCACCCGCCCCAGTGCGGAGACCGGAGGGGGCGAGAGGGGCCTTAGACGTCGCTCTGGCCACCGCGGGCCCTTCCCGGGACGTTTCAGCGGAGCTCGACCGCGTGAGAGCGGGGGCAGCTCGCTGAGAGGTCGAGGGAAGGGGCAGTCGGTTGTTCGAGGGGGCGGGGGCTCCGACTCCTAGGAAGAAAGGGAATACCTCTCTGGGAGAAACCCGGGCCTCGCCACTACCAGCGGAGCCCAAGGGGGACGCAGAGAAGGGGAAAGGAAAGAAGGAAAGGGCGAAAAGGAAGAAGAAGAAGAAGAAGATGGAGAGGCGCAGGAGAGAGTGTAGGAGCTGACTCGGAAAGGTGGAGTCACGGGGACAGCTTCAGGCCCACAAAATGGGAAGCCTCCCATGGGGTTCCCGGCCGCGAAGCTGAGGGAGTGTCGCCGGCATCAGTCGGAGAGAGAGCCGAGGAGGTCACTCAACCCGGAGGGACTGCAACCTCGACAGTCCAAAGAGGAGGGGACTTGGGCACAGGTGGTCAAGAGAGGGAAGAGGAGGAGAAGAAGAGGGGGAATGTTCCCGCTCAATTGAACCGGGAGGGGTTCGGGAAGGTAGGTATGAGACAGGGCATACCGAAGCCGCCAAGGTCGGCGGCCGTCACAATCATGTGTCCTAGCGGAAGGTACCATGAGTTGGGTGGGCGAAAATGCAGAGCAATCCCCCGGACTGCACAGAGAGGGGGGGTTACTCCCCGTCGTAAGCGGCGGAGGAGAAAAAAGGCGGCGCGTGGGGGGGCCGGGGACGCGGTTAAGGGCGGTGTGCCCGCGCAGTCTCGGCCCGCCCACGACGTCGCCGCTAAGGTTACACCCGGGGCAAGTGTCCCAGCGGC